GCCGCTAAAAGTCAAAGGTGTTTTAAACTTGTGACACCATTACCAAATGAACCGCGATACGAAGACTTGAATCCCTCGATCTCTATCCGTCCAACCCCCTCCCCTGGATTCTACTTTTAGTTTCGAGCAACTTCATCACGCCGATTCCGACACTTTAATGACACAACTTTACTCGTCATTTGCTTTTCGACGGCTTGGCTTTTACTCTCGGGCAGAATTTAAACTCAACCCCTCCCCCTCCAACCATCGTTTATCCTCTTCGCGCCCACATCTCGAAGCTTTCAAAGCAACGCGATCGAGGAGAGTGGAGAGAGTGGATGAGGGGAGGGAGGCGTGCATGAACGGTGATTAATTTTGGAAGATTAGTAACAAGCTCGTTGGAATTAGAGAAGGGGATACTGCGTTATTCGAATCGGATCGCGTTAATTAGCCGGCGTTCGTAAATGGAGGAATAGAAGAAGCGGGGAGGGGGATGGAAACTGGTGGTGGGGATGAAACACGAGAGATTCTCGAGAGATTCTCGTGGAAATCTTTCAGGCTTTGGCGAGGGAAAGGGTACCGCGGGATTGGCTTAGCCTTTAACATGCTTTTAACCGAGAGTTACATACATTCGCGATTAAAAGGGAAGTGCTTTGCAGAGTTCTGAGAAGGGTCGCGAAGGCTGTGAAAACGGCGCGCTTTCTTGGCACGTTCTCATACGCGGCCTTTCATGCGAACGTTACGACTATTGCAGTCTGGGGAGTTTCGAGCGAGAATTAGCTCGGCGCGATTAAGCTTACGTCCCCGGATCGAGATAATCGTTAGCGCCAAGTGATTTAGATACGGGTAACGCGAAAACGTTGGAGAACTTTCTTCGTATCCGCGGCGACGTCCTCGATCCTAATGGCCACGATACCATGGACAATGGACCATGCATCGTTTAACTTCTTTCGCGTACAGGTTTTATTCTGGAGATGTGTATTTCTTTTTTCTCTTTTTGTCCGTTATAATTTTCTACCCGTTATCTTCAACGAACGTTCCGTTCCGTTCGATTGGGATTCGTTAACCTCTTCTCAGAAAGGATCATTTTATTAATTTTGTCGAAAGTAAGAAATCCGTAACAAGTCGATTTTAACTTGTTGTTTGATTTAATTGTTAGTAAGGAGACAATTTTTTTTTTTTTTTGCGAATATTCGAAGAAAAAACTATTAATGCGCGAGAAAAATTATATTTGTCGAGTCGAAATTGTAAGTTTTTGGTTCGCAAATAAGGTTTTCGAACCTCTGTTTAATTTGATGAGAGCAGCGTTTGTTTATTATTTTGCGGATAAAGTAACGAGACCAAATGGATTTAATGCTAAATATATTGTTCCAACAGAGAAGTAATGCAGGTGTGATGTAATTTATTTGCGAGTGTATAATCAGTTTGAGTTTGACGACGAGAATTTGTATTAGCACTGTTTACAGTTTACGTCGAAGAGAATGTTTGATCATTTTGCGTAATACGTGTATCGATGAAAAATATCTGGCAAAAATTGGATATTAGGAATGATTTAAAGTTAATTTCGTCTTTAAATCGCTATTATATTTTATTGGTTTTGTCCTCTATTTATAATAAAGTCGAATTAATTTTTCTTCATCGAAATTCCGACAAAATTACTCTCGATCGTATTAAAAAATGTCAATAATCAGAGTAATAAAATTTGATAATATTACTCTTCTCGCTATATTGTGAGCGCAACAAAGTATAGAAATGAGCATAGGAAATAAGTTTCAAGAGACACGATAGAAACTTTTGCTGCAAAAAAATTCCAATAAACGATTAAATTAATTACCCCACCACTTTTTAGATTCGTCACACAAATCTCTTTCAACTACGTTGAATTATCCCTTGAAAGCGCACGTGTTTCAGAATGTACGGCAAACGCAACGAGATATCCGTTTTAATTTTAATCTCGAGATTACGCGTATTTAACCAATCGGTAGAAAAACCAAAATCGCTCGCCTCTCTCTCCGAGCGAATAGGGTTGTTGGGCTGGGGAATAATCGAGGATCGATAGGATCAGTGGATGGGATCAGTGTTTGGGGTAAAGTTTGCGGAGAAGCAAGGGCTGGGCGAGATTCTCGATTATATAGACGAGATCTTATTTCTGTCGTGCTAGCTGGACGTGTAGTCCTCGGACCGGATGGATTTTGAGTGCATTAAAGATGGAGGCAATATCGGGGATGGGATTATCTTTGGACGGGCGATATCACGGACGAAAATACTCTCGTTGCAGTCGAATCGGTGGGGGTGAACGGTTCGTCCGTGGAGGGCCGTGTCCGAGGATTAAGCGAGAATTACCTTGGATTCCGGGCTCTCGAATTCCGTCCACTTAATCCTGTTTCTGTCGGTCTACGTATACGCGCGCAACTTGAATGCCATTTTCTTGTTCGTAATTCTTTCCCGGTTAATCTTAAATCCTCTGTTAATTGCGCCTCCCCGAGTTTGGCACCCACCTTCACGCCCACAAACCTTTTCTTATTATTACTTGTTTCCTTTTTCCTACCGTTTCGAGGAACGAATAATAAACCGAGGCTCTTCCTTTAATTATTTTTTCAAAGTGGATCCGGGCTCGCGCGTCAACCTGCTTTCAAATTATTTTTATACCGTCCAGCCTGGCAGAGAAATTAAATGTCGCGAGAACCAAATTAGAAATTTGCTCTTGAAAATTTTAAAAATCGTTCTATGTTATTGTCGAGTTTCGATTATTTTGTGCGATTTAATGATTACACAAGAAATAGATTTTTAGGATGTATTCACCATACTCGTTCCACCTCTCTCTCTCTCTCTCTCTCTCTCTTCTTCGTAGTTA